AAGGCAACAGACAGCCTGAACAACAGATGGCATTTTCAATATACACAAGTGTAATCAATATCCAAATTCCACGGAGTTTTCATAAAACTGTAACTAAGGCCCAGAACTCAAATACATACACATATGTATTAAATATTTAAAGCAACTTAGTACCATAAACATGAGTATGAGGTAGATGTTGGTAATGGTGTGAATGGACATCCAACAGCTATTTAGACAGACCTGTACCTATGCTGTATGCTAAATGCCAACACATGTTCCCTGTGCTCATTTCAGAGCTGACTTGGAGCCACAAAGCTCTCCTGTGTGGTGGCAACATGGATGGAGCTGCTGTGTCTCTTATCTTCACGAGGCACATCACATGGAGCTCAGAGCTGAATCAACCACAGCAGCACAGGTTCCAGTCTGAGAACATTCACGCCTGTCACTCTTGGAGCAGGAAGCACTATGCATCTTCTATCCCTGCAGTCTCCTGTGTACCTACAGCTGAATGCACAGATACATATGTATGTACATATAGACATACACAGAGAGTTGAGAGAGGTGTTACTGTTGTACAGAACAATGGATTTCTGCGATCAGCACATCACAATCCTTCCCTGACCGACTACATGTAAACAGGGCATTACTTCTGATCACCGATGGAGAAAATGTGTTCGTCCAGTTAAACACTAATAGGCCTTCCACAGCCAGTCCTCTCTCACAGACCACAAAAAGGAAGAGATGGAGCAAAGGGAAAAGTATAGATAACTAAGAAAAGTAGGGAAAACCTTCAAAGACACTGAGAATGAACCCTGACAATAAATGGCCAATCAGACCCACATTCATTCACTAAACCACCAAGAAATAAGCATTATTACACAAAAACACAGAAAGAACATCAGAAAATTACCTTTGGTACGTTTTTCTGACCCCCATCGTAAGCCTTGAGTTTCTAGTTTAAAAATTGCCTGCAACACAAAGGACAGGCAGCGATCTGTTCATGCACACCAACAAAACCAACAACATCCTTTCTAAAGGGCTGAAATTACATGAAGTACTTCAGCAGCAGATTAGCTATCATTATGAGATTACACCTATTTGAAGAATGCTTCAGATGGCAGGAACTGCCATGGGAGAAAATAAAGCCTTATTCAAGAGCCCAGATACCACCAATTTCTTTTATTAAAACTCCTACATTTTCCAAGGAAATTTATGAGTTTAGATGCTATTCTTCCACATATGCTGAGCCTCCTTCACATCAATTCATAATTCCTATTTATTTTCTTAGCAAGGAGCAATGGGTTATAATTGAGTAAGTGTGCCCTTCATGCACTGAGCAGTTATTCAGGCTCATTACAGAGCACTCATAGTGCAAAGCTGTAGCATCAGATAGTCAGAACCACACTAGATACACATTCCTTCGTTCTTCCCCATCATCTCACCCAAAGCTCGTGCACAAGCAATTTTTCCCATTTAATGAAAGTGTTTTTCATGGTAGTCTATTTTCCTCAGATTGCTTAAATACATCCTTTTCTTCATTCCTTCTCATGCCTTCGCTCTTTCCTGTCTTGCCTTGCCAGAACTGGGGTCTTTCCCTTCTCCTACTTCTTACTTTCACCTCTTATTCCCTTGCTTCCATCTCCCGTATAACCCCATCTCATCTTTCTGCACTCAGTAGGCAGTACAGCTATGCAAGACTAGGGAAATGACCTGCCTGCGAATAAGGCAATAGAAATACTGCAATTTCCCCCTTTTTACCCAAAAGGAGCTACCTGATCTTCTCTATTGGGAAAAGTGAGGTTTCCTACCTCCCCAAGGCTTAGCAGCAGGGTGTTGGCTGGCTCTCGAACCCTTGGCCAACACAGGGACAAGGAGATCTCACAGTCATTAGTGGCAAATCTGCGTAGAGCTTCAATTTTTTTTTTTTTCTTATTTTTTTTCTTTAAACCCTTCTTCTTTTCCGACCAAAGCAGAAAGCACAAAGCTTTGTGCTTCATGTTCCCTGCCTGGTGAGCAGGGCCTGCTACCTCTTTCTTCCCATTACGTTACGGGAGCTTTGAACCAAAACTTTTTAAAGCTTTAAATTAAATGCGTGAAGCAGAACGCTGTCAAAGGACAACCAGGTAAGAATCACTGGCAGGGACAAACACATAGGAAAAAGTGTTTCTCCTTTTTTTCTTGTCCTCTTTTGGAGAGTGGGGCAGAAAGGAACAGTTCCAAATGAATCCCAGACCCCTCCAGAGCAGGACAAAAGGCAAAAACTCTAAGGATTTTCCTCCCAGAAACCTCATGAGCTCCAGTTTTGCAGACAGGCTAACATTAAATCACGTAAAGACAGCATCTGTATTCATTCTTGGCAGGAGATTTTGGTGATACAAAAGCACATACGCTGTTAAGCGTTTAAGCGCAGTAGTGAGGCGGGGAAAATAAACAACCAAAAACCTGGCTTCATCGGTAGACCATGACCAGCACTACTTGCTATAAAACTCTAGCAGAGCACACAGAATCTTACCTTCTTGTGGAGGATGGGGTTAGAGCTCCTCAAAAGGAGCAAGGCTAATAAGTGTGCAAAGTCCTGCACTGAGGCAATTCTACGGCATGTGAACAACGGCTGTTCTCAGGTTCTCCTCAGCTTATGAGCGAGCAGGGATTTTCAGAAAACATGGGTGAGGAGCACAGAAAACCCCAGACCAAATATTTGAAAGCAAAATGGGAAAATGTGCCTGAGTCAGAGCTGCTCCAAAATACTTCTGGCTTTCTTACTTAGACATCATCAGTTTTCCAGGGCTTTTTGTAGGACAGAAGATACTGAGAACATGTTAACAAAGCCGGTGTTCCCATTAGAAATTGTAGAGGTGTATTGTATTCTACTCTGCGTTAGTAAAGATTTTCACCTTTGTAAGGCTGAAATCCTCTCTACAGTAAAAGCACCCAATCCTCCAAAGTGATCTAACGTTTGATTTTCCAGTAGAGGCTGTCAGAAAGGTACTTCAATGCCTCAGAAGTGTTCATCCGAGCTACCTAACCATGCCACACTGCAACAGTATGTGTACCTACTTGATAGCAGAACTCACCCCAACGCAAGTAAGTCTTGATGTCTGCATCTATTCCGTTTGTTTCACAGTGAGGGACTTCGCTATGCTGTTAAGAGAGCAAACATCAACAACTCTTCCTTTCTAACCCAGTGAAAACCAGTCATACTTCTCCCTGCTTACAGCAGAAGCTGTAAGGGCTCTAATGGCAAAGTCATAACCAGTGCTGTTCTTTTTCCCCCCCAAGCATCTATTCTGTCTTACTGAAAAGGAAATTTGAGGTAGATTTCTTTCCAGAGTGTTTCAAAGCCTGTGTAGTATGTTTGTATGAAGTTTTAGATGTGTCTCCTCAAACACATTTTGGTAACTCATGTTTTCTCAAAAATAAAAATCCAAACTCTTTTTATATCAAGGAAAGTAAAAAAAAAAAAAAAAAAAAAAATTGCTGAAACAGGATCAATTATGAACTGCAAGATGATGTGCAGCCCCAAAGTTACACCAGAGCAGTCTCAGCCTGCCAAACGTATCGTGACTGAAATTGTTCTGCAGAGAGAAGGCGATGCTTCATGCAATTATTTAAAGTGTTCTGAGGATTGCTACAGTAGGTCTTGGGTTGGCAGCTGTGACAGTGAGATATTACACACACATTGCCATCTCATGGATGCTACAAATATTTGGTTATAATTCCAAGAATGTATTTCCTCATAGAAAAATAGGCAGAAGCCACAGCACATAAAATTGTTGTAAGATTTACAACATGAAAGCAGGAACTTTACACTTGAAACCATCCAAAAATCTGCCGCGGATTCTCTCGTAGTAGTTACTATTTTTACGACTTGGCTCAGCATTGCTTTAATCTCTTTATTTAGGAAGAAATTGCAGGCTTGCCAACTCCAGCAAATGTTAAGTACTTCAGTAAATTCCCCATCAATATAGGGCGTGCATTCGAGGGAATGGGAAGATGGGCAGTGAGCCCTGCTTCTGCTCCTGCAGAAGGGATTGGGAAAAGAGAGACGGCAGCATGGCTGAGCCCCGCAGCCCCAACACCTCCTGCAGCACAACCGAGACAGAACAGTGCCCAGCCCGTGCCGGTGCCCAGCCTCACGTGGGCAGAAGGGCATGCACTGGGCTGAGGTGCCCCTCTTTGCCAGCTGAAGTTTGGGAAGCGACGGCACAGCAAGTCAGCACAAGGCGGGAGGCAGGAGATGCTAAGGCAGCAACGCAGCGTGTCTGCACAGTGACAGAGCTGATCCGCTGCGCAGCCATTCCCAAGTTGGCCAGCCAGGTGCTTTTAACTGATCGACCCCTTCCAAACCTAGAGTTTTGTTTTTTAAATAACTGGGCAACCAACTAGCTAGCACAAATTTATAGGGCTTACAAAGCCGCTAGCAAAGAAATGAAGCTTTGCTCCCAGAGAGCCTGTACCCCAAGCAAACAAGTTACTGCTCCTCGCTGCACTTCCAGACTGGGACCTCCCTCTGTTCTGTGTGCCCGGGGCGACACAAACCGTCTGGTGAATGGCACATTGTCCCCAGCACCAGATACGCACTGGCCTCATACCCGGACAGCTTCAGCACTCGCACCGGAGCTTCATGCCGTCGACCCCCGTGTAGGTCGCAGAGCCCTGCCTACCCCGGGATGCCCATCCCCAGCCGTCCCCGCCGGGCTCTCTGCCACCGCCTGCCCAACCGCCGCGCCGAGCCCGGAGCGCAGAAGCCGCCGCGAACCCCAGCGAACAAGGTGCTGGACAGACGCGCTGCGCCCCGCCGTCCGCGGAACGGCTGCGCCCCACCCCCGGCACAGCAAGGCACCACCGTACACTCCTGCAGATGTATCTATCGAGAACGATAACGAAAGCGCCCGGCCGGGGCTCCGGCTTCCCGCACCGGCGCCGACGCACACGCAGCAGTTTGCACCTCGGCGGAGACTCCGCTGCGAAGGGCAGGGGAGCGCGGGGCGGGGGATGCGGGGAGGAGAAGCCATTACCAGAGTTTTGTCCCCGTTCTTGCTGAGGGGGCCTCGGAAAACTCCCTTGATGTTGCGAAAGTGGCCGTTGCTGAGGTGCGCCGAGCTGATGACGATGTAGTAGCACTCCATGGGGCCGGGGCTCCCCGGGCGATGGGGGCCCTCTCGGGAGCCCCGCGGCATGCGCGGCCCCGAGGCTCACAGCCGGCACGGCGGCGGCTGGCGGGGGAGGAGGAGGCGGCGGCGGGGGAGAACGAGGAGGAGGAGGAGCGGCGGCATCGCCGAGGCTTCGCCGGCGCCGTGTGAGCCGCCGCCCGCGGCGGGCATAGCGCTGTTATAGCGGGCGGCCGTGCCGGTCCGCTGCGCCGAGCCAATGGCAGGGAGCCACCGGGCCGGCGGCGGGCAGGGGGGGACATCGGGCACACACCGCCTCCGCCGCCCCCCCGGGCCCGCAGGTAAAGGGGAGGGACGGGGGGCGGACGGGAAAAGCCCTCGGCCCGCCCCGCCGGCTCCCTCCTTTCATTTTTTCCTCTCTTTTCTTTACTGGGCGGGGCCGGTTTCCGCGCGATCTGGGGGGTGGGGAGGGATGCTCGGGCCCTCTCCCTCTCTCCTCGCGCCGCTCCCCCTCTCTTCACCTCGCCGCCGCCTCTTATTCTACGTTTCTACATCCGCGTTATCATTTACGCCAAGCCGGGCTCGCACGCCGCTTTACTCGGAGAGGGGACCCAGCGGCTGCCGCAGGCTCACGGGGCGCACCGGCGCTCACTCGCGCTGCCCCGGGGGGCGCCCTGAAAACGGACGACGAAGCGGGGACGGCCCCGCTCTGCCCCCCGCGCCGCAGCGAACAAAAGGCGACGGCAGGAGGAGCGGCAGCAGGCGCTGCCCGTGCCGCGCCCTCCGTTCCCTGCTCGGGGTAAGGCCTTCATGGAGCGCCACGCTTTGTCACAGCATAAAAGATGGGCGTATGGAAGATGCTCGAGTCCTTTTTTCCCCTCAGAGACCCCTGACCTGCAGCCTAAGCACAGAAGGCACCGCACATCCTGAGCCAGCTTGCCTCCTCGCTTACTTTCTTTAACATACCTAAAAATCAAGAGGCTAAAATGATGATAAATTCCAACGCTAAAAAAGAAAACAAGCCCAGAAGCACAATGTAACCTCCAAAAACAAGCCCCAGTCTGCACTTACTGCTGGCAACAAGATACCGGGAGAGCCTATCCATCCCATCCTCAAAAATAAAAGGAACTGCAGGTAGGAAACATGAGGGGTAAACAGGGACAGACCCTTTTCCCATCAGCATCTGTGCAGCTTGTATCCTTGGTAGAGGAAGCAACAATCTACAGGAGGTGCCTCACTCCGATAAGACTTGGCTATCTGTTCTGTTCCCCATCCTACAGAGAGCAGCGCAGTGTGACAGCTGTCATTCATCCTTCCAAGGCTGCAGTGCTTTGGAAGGAATCCTGGAAATACCATCAGCAGTCAATTCTGACAGCTGAGGGACAGGGGAGGTGCCACAGTTTGCTGCAGCTACAGCTCAAAAGAGAGGGTGAAAAATGTACACGCATATAATAGCACACTATTTTTCTGTTTGCACATACATACGTATAAAGCTGAATATAGTGAGGTTTATTGCAGCGTAGCTATGAAGTCAGTATCATAAACGTTTGCTGTGTTTATGATCGCTGCACCTTCGCACCCCAGTTTCAATCCCAGGCAGTCCCACAGGTGGAAATATCACCATGATTGGACTCCCACACGTATGCACCAGGTTGCTGGAAGCCATCATGTTAGATTTCCTGGTGGTGCTGGCAATGGAACAGCTGCCAACTGGAAGGTTTGTTGGGAAGCTCCTCTGGGCAGCGAGATTTCCAAAAACATCCAAAGTTTGGGCAGGATAAAGTAATGAAAAGGCTGAAACAGCAATGAAAAATTAAAAGAAAACTACTGCCACTCCATTTTTCTGGACCAGGGCATAAAACACACTAAGCACCACCTTCCTGTATATTACGTTCCCATTAAGCCAGCTCCTAGTAGACAGCCCTTCACACAGTCACTGTTGCAAAGAACAAGAACATTCTTCTCCAAAATACTTCTGCTGCCCATTTCATTGTATGTCACCAGCATTTAATTGCCTTCCACAAGCACACATTTGCATGGCCAGGGCTGGCTGCTTTCAGCCAACACTGCTTGCGTGCTCTTGCTAGGCATACAAGACCATGGGAAATGAGAATGGGCACTAAAGAGCACATAATAAGCAAAATTTATGTCTTCTACTTTTTCTGGTTGGTCACTCTTCTCTTTTTGGCTGCTCTTCTATCTCCACTTTTCCTTACGTGCCCTTCAGAAGTCCCTTTCCTGCACTCTTTCTGCCTCTGTCTCTCTGCTATGATCACACGTGCTCAGGGAAGTGCTTCCTTTCCAAACCTTCTTTCCCATCTTAATTAATGGCTATTTCATAACTCCCCGAGCCTACGGCTCTACATACCTCCAAGCCTTACCTATTTCCACCTCTATCCTTTTCTGCCTGTGGCAATTAGAATAGTATTCTGCAGTTTGACACTCGGTAGAATTAATCATTCAAGAAATAGGCACAGCGTAATTCAGAGAAAAATACTCCCCAGTATCAACAATCACCTTTTGTTTAACAACCTCCAAAGCACATCCCAGTGTGTGTATTACCCACTGAATATATTCCGAGAACTCACTTATCTCGCTGCTGAAACATATCCATCAAGGATGGCAAGGAGCGTCTGCACAGTAAGTCACAAGAAACTCAGTTCAGCTCCCACAGCAATTCCCACTGCATTCGCTACAATTCAGACTGTTTTAAGAACATCTCCCTCACAGCACTCTAAGATGCACTTCTACATCATGCTGGTTTTTTTTTTTTTAAATCATCTCCTCTACTTTCAGTCTCCTCTTATTGCTCTCCTTCATTTCTTTATTTTTCCCACTTAGCCACCCATGTTTGCCCCTGCTCTTTAGATGCCTGCCACCCTTGCATTACGCGCAAGGAAAAATGGAAGCATCCTGTTCACCTCCTAAAGGTCATTACGGTGAAACAGAACCACAGAATCATTAAGGCTGGAAAGCCTCTTTAAGATCACCAAGTTCAACCCATCACCACCATGCCCACTAAATCACATTCCTCAGAGCCACATATCCGTGGTTCATTAACACCTCCAGGGACAGAGACTCCAGCACCTCCCTGAGCAGCCTGTTCCAATACCTCACTTTTTCTAAGAACTTTTTCCTAACATCCAACCTGAACCTCCCCTGGCACCATTTAAGGCCTTACTTCACATCTTATCAAATACATTTTACAGGTGCAATACGCCCTACGCACTACTTTACAAATGCATTCATTCATCAGCTTGAGGAAAAAAAAAATAAAAAAAAATGCTGAGGCATTCCTGTAGCCTCACTGCTCAGTACTACTGAGCTACAAAATTTTACTGCTTGATCTTGAAAGCAGGCACAGAGATGTATTAAGAAGTGCTGAACTCTTCTATGTAACATTTTCTTTCTTTGCTTTGTCAGCCCTGCACCCCACCCAGTCTTTCTCCCCCCCCAAAAAAAATTAAAGTTGTTTGAAGCCTATAGCTTAGAAACTGTGTTAGATGCCCTGGCACACTTCTCAAGTGGTGCCTTAATTAGTGAAAATGCTGCAAGCACTGCTGCTTCACGCCCTTCTTTCAGCTTGTAGACAGCAGGGCAAGAGGCTGCAAGGCGACACTGTCAGGGAGCTGATGTGCCACTCACTGTGATAAACCACAGTGCACAACCCCTGAAGCAAACCCTCCACCACGTACACATTACACATGCAGTACAGAAAGCACCAACAACTGAGGAAGTCCTGGGACCAGTCCAGGACTACCAGAATGCCTCTTCAAACCCAGTTCCCTAATAACCTAACAATCGTGCCAGGAGCAATACAGATAGACGTGGAAAATCCCATAAAACAGTATGCCCTTCCCTTCAGAAATAAAAACAACAAATGCACTAAGACCACAGAATGGGCACATCTCCTCCATCGACAGCTAAAATTCCCCCAAATCCAGCAAACAAAGTACATATCCTGCTCAACATTAAAACCAATAGAGCATTAACTCCACAGGGCAAGATCCAAGGAGATTCAAAGTAGCCTACCAGTTGTCTCCTATATTTCTAAAACAGGAGCTGACTAATGAGCACCAGGCTTTAAATTTCACCAAATAACTGCTTTTTACTTCAGTTTAATCAGTTACAAACTTGATCTGTTGAATACATACAACACTTCAAAAATACTTAGGAGGCAAAAGGCTTTTATCCAAAATAAATGAAGCATCAAGACAAAACCTAGTAAATGAAAGCAAACTAATGATTAAATACAAAAACTGTACATGTGGAGATCTAGAACAGCAGGCAGTTTGTGGCCATTTATCAGATGACTTTCCATCCATACAGCTTTTTTTTTCCTAGAGTTAAAAACATCTAAGAAATCGATCACAAGTCTTGCATAGTCAGTAGGAAACCACCTTTGCTTCCTTTGCATCAGCAGCATGAAGAGCCACCAGGCACCCTGAAGTTCATGCCAGGATGTGGTACTGCATCCAAGCTTGTCCACTGGGTGGTGGTAATGAGATCAAGAAGTTTCGAAGTAGAAAAGCACTTCGAACAGAACCAGTACTCATTCAGGTATTCATTCACTCCTCTCCAGATACATATTTGTGTGTGAACACACACACACAGCTACACGAATGCGCACAACACTGGAAAAGTATATGTTCATCACCCTTTATGCCTCACCAGTAAGAGGTGGAATAAGATAGCTTTTGAAATCTTTAAGAGTATGAAAGAAGAATATTAAAACATTTTTTGAATGACTGGTGTGCTAATTTCATAATTAAACACCTTTCGCTTCTTTAGTATTCAGTTCACTGCCATAATCTTCTCAACATAAAAGCTGAGCAGAGCTGGGATGATGCTGTGACACTGATAATAGGTCAGAAAGTAGAACTGTATTATTCCTGAATGAGCCAGTATAAATTAGAGACTCACCAGGAAAATAACAGTCGTTAATATTTTAATACATTTTATTGAGTTCAATGTATGACATACTATTACGGCTTCCTTTAGCTTGTGATCTATAACAGTCAGAAAAAGAAACTTAAATTCAAAGCCACGTGTTTATTTCCCTAACACTACACAATTCAGAAATCTAATTTTTAGAAGAAGAACATTTGGCACCATCTGAAGATCAAAATCCTCTACAGTATTTATGGTTACAACCTCCCAGTTTAAGACACCATAAATCAAACCAGATATTAGTTGGTTCACTTTCACAGAGTGCTTGTTCTAACAATACCAGAGC